GCGAAGTCTGAAGTTTATCAATCATCGCGGGCGTGGCTCACCAACGTTGTTTCGGTGGGTGGTCATCATCACTGATCTCAAAAATATGACGGACTGTCATGAATAGCGGACACTGATTGGTCAAATTTAAAGGGACACTCCACCCCCAGAACAAGTGTCGCTCATAAGAAAGCTTCATATGAGCCTACCTTGGAATGAATATTTGTTCGCCTCAATTCTTTTTCGTTTGCGAGAAATTTAACTTTGTTTCACTGATTTTTGGTCCATTATCGCCGCCATGTTTGTTGAATCCGCGGGTGGTCCTACGAGTGCCGTGACGTAAGTGTGTGATAGAAACAAATTGTATAATCAGATTTGCTTCGAAACAAATTGTATAATCAAGCTTTAGAGTTTCCTTTTAAATATTTTTTAACCGAAGATGCCTCATTGCATGGTTCCTGAGTGTACTAACAACTCACGGAAAACTGTGGGAATCAGCTACCACAGAATTCCAAAAGAAAAAGGTTTGCGAGAAGCGTGGTTGGCGAGAATTCGCAGAGTAAACCCACGCGATATAAATAATTCATGTGTTTGTTCGGCGCATTTTACACCAGACTGCTTCGAAAGAACGCTCGATCTTGTGCCTGGCTACCAAAAAAAGCCAAAGCTAAAATCAGACGCAGTGCCATCTATATTTCCGCGCAGTAAGCCAGAAAAAGCTAGAAGCACAGGGCGAAGAAGAAATCAAATCCGCTCTGAACAAGCCAGACAAGAGGTATTAAGCCATGAACGCTTGCATGTATATGTAGTATAAAAAACTTGTACATTATGTAATTATTTTGTAGCTTTCATATTGTGGCAGAATTAACTTTCTGAACATTTGTACGTTATTAGACACAAATAAAGCATAAACACTTCAATAACATATATGTTGTGTATATTTTTTAATACTAGCTGCATATATTTATAATATTAAATTGTGTATTTATACGAGTTCATATTCTAAAAAAATGTACAACCATCATCTTAACTCCTTCCGACATCATATTGGGACAGTAATATGGAAGACAGACGCTGCATGCTGTATTTTAGTAGCCATGCACATGCACAACAAATCCAACATAGGGCCAGAACTAATATGGGGAACATTTGTATTAATGTATAAACCCTCAAAATTAAATTCATACACTGCACTGCATTGTATTTAGACACATTCAGTTATTTTTAAGATACTTGAAGACTGTATTAGTATGCAAATTGAGAGCTCATCGACATCCTCCCAAGCTATTGAATGTACTGAATCTGAAAGTCAATCATGCACAATTAGTTCTGTATCTGAAACCCAATGTCCCATTGATGGCATGACAGCAAGTAGAGAAATTGGCATACAATGTGAACTGTTGGTTGACCACATTATTAAGCCCATGACATCATGCATTGCAACCCAAACTGAATCCACGCTCCTTGAATTACACACCCCTGCTCTTGCAACTGTTAGTGGAAATGATATTGCACAATCTGATCAAGAAGTTATGTATATTGATGCACCTTCCTTAAAGGAAAGCACCAGCCTACCCGAGTGTCATTCTCCAAGCACTTTTGCAGAAACTACTGACCTACTTGAAAAGGTATCACCTCAGAAAAGCATCTGTTCAGAGTATACATGCACACTGACTGATACAGATACAGATCATGATGAATATTACATGCCTTCTGCTGAAAGTCAAACCGAAACAGAGAATGAAAGTGATGTAGAAATAGAAAAAAGTCCTGTAGAGCAGAAAAAATTTGTGGTGTTTGAAAAAAATCTAGATGAGCTATTTGTTACTTGTTCCACCTGTGCTAAGCCAATAGTTGAGCAGTCTAAAAAATGTATTGGTAGCATGGTGGTTGTTGAAACAGTATGTGTTGATGGACATCAGAATAAATGGCGGTCACAGCCTATGATTGGTGAGAAGATAGCAGGCAACTTGTTGCTTGCTGGATCAATACTGTTCAGTGGGAATACGTTTCAAAATGTAAACTCTTTGGCCCAGTGCTTGAACTTGGCTTTTATTGGTAGAAGTACATTTTATGATATGCAGAAGGAGGTTCTTTTTCCTGTAGTTGATAAGGCTTGGAAAGACCACCAAGTTGACCTGCTGAATGAAACAAAAGAATCATCTAAGTTAGATATTTGTGGGGATGGTCGGTGTGATAGCCCAGGGCATTGTGCAAAGTATGGCACATACACTGTTATGGAGGAAAATAGCAGTAAAATTCTAGATTTTGAAGTCGTTCAGGTCACAGAGGTCTCATCATCAAATGCTATGGAGGCTGAAGGATGCAATCGGGTCCTCAAAAATTTAAAAACAAAGGGGGTAAAAGTGAGATGTTTGACTACGGACAGGCATACAACAGTCACTGCAGAAATGAGAAAAAAACATTCTGAAATTACACACCAGTATGATGTCTGGCATCTTTCAAAATGGGTGGTCAAGAAATTGACAAAGAAAAGCAAAAAGAAAGAGTGTAAAGATTTAACAGATTGGATTCAGTCTGTTTCTGCTCATTTCTGGTGGAGTGTTGCAACATGTGATGGAAACTATGAATTACTCATTGAGAAATGGACATCTGTTGTCAATCATATTAGCAACAAGCACTCATGGAGACATGCTAAGCATTTCAAGAAATGTGCTCACCATAAATTGACCCGACGGGAGAAGAAAGAAAAGCCTTGGCTAAAACCTGGTGCTGCTGCTCTTGTTGCCCTTGAGGACATAGTTTTTAACAAAAAGCTACTCAAGGATTTAAAGCTGGTAACAGAGTTTCATCATACTGGAAATCTGGAAGTTTATCATTCCATGATGCTAAAGTACTGTCCCAAGAGGCAGCACTTTAACCATGAAGGAATGGTTGCTAGAACACAGCTTGCTGCCCTGGACAATAATCACAATTGCTCTAGGAAGCAAGCTGTGGTCAAGAAGGGATCCAATGTGGGCAGTCTACGATACAATCTTGTTTTCCCAAAGATGCGCAAAACATGGGTAGTAAAGCCAATTAAGGAGGCCAAGCAGTTTGATTACATTACTACACTGATGGAAAATATCCTCAGGTATAAAAAATCAAAGAAACCGAAGAAATCCAAGAAAGCCAAAAAGTCTGCCAAACATGCAAAAAATATTGCCACAAAAGAGAAACCAGACAAGGAAACAGCAATCAAGGCTCACATTAGCAGATTCTAGACAAACTAACAAACCTATATTTATAATAAACAAATTATAAAATGAGCAAATGATATATGTACTTGTAAGTTAAGTGTCAAAAGGCCCAATTTGTTCATATAACATTTAATTAATCATCTTCATCAGATGCTGGCTTAAACCCAACATAAACATGATCATCCTCAGGTCCAGGAGGTGGGAAATGTGCTCTGATGCAACTGACAGCACAAGATGGCAAGGCGACTCGAACATGCCTTCCTAGCACCCCCCAACCAAATCGTGCAAGTTGCCGATAAGCAATATGCCTGTTCCTTTGGTTATCTGGGCCTTCAAATGGGTTGTCGTACTCCTGCCTGTATTGATACCATGCCGTTCGGAGTACAAACATATCCAAACACACAGAAGTAAAGGCTGGATTATCGGTGATGCAAGTAAGGGGATCTTTTATTTTCTTAATGATGGTGACTTCTTCATTGAGGGATAACATTTCGGGGATTTCCTGACAGCAAACACATTCGTCAGATCTATCCATCATTTGGCAATGACCACATTTACACCTGAGGATATTTATATAGTAGATAAAGAGTGAACGCAATTATCTCGGCAATTATAATATATTTCCATTGCACAAAACTTACCATTCTAAATTATCCAAGCGACTTTCATCAGCCGAAGAGTTCGAACCCTCTTCATCTGCTTGGCTTTCACTGTCGCTGCTGGAACTGGAGCCTTTCTTTATAATCGTAGGTTCGAATAAATGCGGCTGCAGCGAAAACTTTGCTTCGTCCGTTTCAAATTTTACATTTATATTCGGTGATATATCTTCGTCTACTTCAGAAGAGCTGCTGGTACTCGATCGGGCCATAATTTAAAATGATCAGTAAGAGAATAAACGATCAATAACAGAATTTATTTACCCAAAATCACACCGAAATGAATTACGAAGCTGTTAATTTATAGTGTTTACATCAAAGACTGAGTGTTTCTATCACACATATACGTCACGGCACTCATAGGACCACCCGCGGATTCAACAAACATGGCGGCGATAATGGACCAAAAATCAGTGAAACAAAGTTAAATTTCTCGCAAACGAAAGAGAATTGAGGCGAACGAATATTCATTCCAGGGTAGGCTCATATAAAGCTTTCTTATGAGCGACACTTGTTCTGGGGGTGGAGTGTTCCTTTAAGCCTTATTTTGAAAGAAAGAAAGATTTAGGTGCACACTCAGTAAATGCAGTTAGTGTAGGTCTCCCAAGGATAGTTGTGATGAGTCCAATATTCTGTCTGACATGAAAAAGCTGAGCAATTCAGATGTATTAAAGAATTTGGATGAGAAATTAAAGCATCTTGAGCCAGCGGAACGAGAAGATTTAAGGAAAATTATTGGTGACTACAAGCATCTGTTTCCAGATGTTCCATCTAGAACTGAAATGATATATCATGATGTTGAAATCGAGGACACTGCAAGACCAATCAAACAACACCCGTACCGGCTTAACCCTATGAAACAACGATATTTACAAGACGAAATAAATTACCTCCTGGCGAATGACATTATCGAGCCCAGTAACAGCAACTGGAGTTCTTCTTGAATTTTGGTTCCGAAACCGGATGGCTCATATCGTATGTGTACAGATTATCGGAAAGTTAACGTTATACTAAGTCGGACTCGTTCCCCATACCCCAAATGGAGGACTGTATCGATCGTATTGGAAACGCTAAGTACGTTACTATGTTTGATATACTCAAGGGATTTTGGCAAGCCGTTCCACTCACCGAACGTGCGAAAGAAATTTCAGCCGTTGTTACTCCCACCGGACTGCTTGTCAAGATAATGAAGTTGGACGAAAGTTTTAACAAACTTTCTTTTTTCAAGAGGGGGAGTGTGACGTGAAGTCAGTCACGTCTTGAACATTCTTAATTTAAGACATTGCGTAATTATGCTAACTCATGTTTTGCTATATTTATCGTCTTATGTAATTATCTAAAAATAGTATGACGTAATGTTTTATTAATATCTTTCGGACAGTATATAAGCAGCGAAAGCTTAAGATAGTTTAGAATTAAAAGTTTAGAGATAATTGTCGTTGTTGTTAAAGAAGAAGAGTTTGATATTGTGAAGTTATTGTCGTCGTGAAGACTTAAAGGAAAGGAACTATATTATAAAGTGTGAAAGGACAAAGTCTGAAAAGCAAAGCTGTGTCTTTATCATTAGACAGATAAGTTTAAACTATCCTGATTCTTCGTTCTTTTAGTTTTAAATTTCTTTCACTAATAAATAATATAAAAATATAGGACTCTTCTGTTTTTAAGTCTTTCTTGTTACGGTGAACGTAACAATGGTTGCATTGGGACATATTCATCCAACTGCATTTTCTGTGTTTGTGAATGGAAAGTTTGTTTGTAAAGAAGACAACTCGTCGATTCTCTGCCATTTCTATTGACCAAGTACACGAGCAAAATAATGCTCTTGTAAAGGGTGACGGTGGGGCTGTGGGTCTGACCGAGAATCCTGCTGCTCTTCATCGCTGGATGGTGTCCGGTCCTGAGATGGCTAGACTGATCCAAGAGTTTGAGATTTCCACCGACAAGAAGAAAACTACAGATTTACGCCATCACGAGGACACAGAACATGCGCAGACTGCATTTAACCGCGATGTATGTAGCTTAGTTAACACCATTGACCATTTTGGAAATCCGTTCTGTGAAGATAGCTGTGATCTTCTTGTACTTGACAACAGGAATATTGCTGAGAAAGCCATTGTTGAAAGTGTGTTTTAGATTGAATAGTTGGGACATGAACAGTATAGCGCGTACGTCAACGAGCGGCTAGTCAATCAAAATTTACCATGACGCTTGGCATAAAATGTTGCGAAATCGGCCAAACTGCCGATCATGAAGTTCAGCGGTCTTGCCCATGAGCATAGAAAAAATTCAAGATGGCGGCGATTAGGAGTGAATTGCAAAATCTGTTAGGGCGAATTTTTCATCTTGTCAACTAGAAAACTGTTGTGGATTATTGCGGAAACAATCGATGGGGACTGGTCAATGTGCAAAACAAACGTTCAATGTGAAAATCACGTTCGAATTAACAGATTGGCAAAGGCAAACTGGTCAATTTCTTTCTGTTGACATTTTAAAATACTTCTTGTGTAAGATTTAATTAAGTGATATCGAATGGATTTTGCTCAGGCGACGTAAAATAAAATCCTTGGCCTAGTAGGAACGATAAAAGCTAAAACGAAAGTTTACATAAACCTACCGCTCAGTGTCAGGAGGCTTGTCTAATCTCTTAATTTACAAACTATTTCGCAGTCTACTAGTGTTGCTTTAATCAATATACAAGGATGGATAATTTGTAAGCAACTATACTGAATTTTTGAAAGCTTTCACACATTGAAAGGAATTACAGTATCATGTCTGATATTTTTGAATTATGTACTGTACATGTTAATAAAGATAACTTGAAGTATTTTATATTCACTAGCATGTCATATTTCTAACTTTCTGGTCTTTATTTAGCATACAGTATCTCACACACACTACCAGTAATATGGCTGACATATATACTAAGGAGTAAGGTGATAAATTTCTCTTTTGGTACATGCAGTCAAAAGTGTTTTTAGTGACTGTATGTAACCCATTATGACTGCCTGTGTATCAGTATGTGACAAGCATTTTACTGGTATGCAGGGGCGTAGGAAGCACCTGGAGTTTGGGGGGGCACCGGCTTGTAGGGGCACATTACTATCGGAAAGGGCACCTAAAAAATTTTTCCCGGAAATGTTGTCGACGGGGGGGGGGAGAAATTTCTCCTGAGGAAAATTTTCCGTCGTATCATACCGAAATTTATGTTTGTGACCTAATTTTTTAAAAAAATTTGTAAATTTCCACACAAAAACGGCACCTATTGTTTTAATTTAGTATTTACAGCGACATTAGCTTCTACAAAAGGGGCACTTTTCCTCACAAAAAAGGGCACTTTTCAACACAAAAAGGGCACTTTTTATCACAAAAAAGGGCACTTTTAGTCCTTTAAAAAAATTTGGGGGGGCACGTGCCCCCCGTGCCCCCCCGCTTCCTACGCCCCTGCTGGTATGTGTATATTATTTGAACTTCCTGCATTGGCAAAGTACTTTGATTTGTATATTAATAAATTATATATACACCATGTCTTTGTATCCATTGATGTTCATACTTCCACAACCAGGGTGCTTAACCCATTAAGTGACAGAGCTTCCCTATTGACGAGTAAAATTGTCTGGTGTTAGACAAGTAAAAGGGGCATTGCGGTTCAATGGGTTAACACATAAAAGAACACACAGAGAAGAAAACCCATATGATTGTGTTGTTTGCATGTGCAGGAAATGTTCACATGAATGTGTTGTTTGCATGTGCAGGAAATGTTCACATGAATGTGTTTTTTGCATGTGCAGGAAATGTTCACATGTGATCAATTCAAAAAGACCAAAATAATAAACACTGGATAAAAAAGTTTGTGAATTTGCTATTCCATACTCAAATGTTTAGTACACTACTGAACATAAAGAACAATACTGGGAACAATATTTGCCAATAGTCCTGGTAAAATTATTTATTAGACCAGACAATTTAATTGAGAACACTATTTGCAATCAAATAATAATACATATTTAATTAGATCAACTCTCACTTGCACTTGGCAATTACTGAGAGGGTTAATATTACAGTCAAAGTCAAACTTAATACACATATATTTCAGTATAGTAGGCAGGAATAATCCAAACCCAGCGACACATTATTTCACAATATTCTGCCATTAGTAAATAAAATTTGCCTTGCAAGACCTAGAAGAAAATGGTAAAGGTTTAGAGATTAAAAATCTTGCATCACTATAACTGATAAACCCAATATTCTTACAGTACGGTAACTCTCTTTAAGGGTAAATTTAAATATCTGACTGATATAAGACCGAAATAACAAAGTAGGCTAGTAGCCCAATTATTACAGGTATAGCCTGGAAACACGACTGTCTTTGGGGCACATCACATATCTACTCAGCATTGCATATACAAAACAAGCAAATGACTGATGGTTACACTGGGAAACAATGCGGCTTACTGAGTTAACACAAAAGGTGGACAGACAATCCATGGATGTATTGTGGCTGTATCCTTGGTATATAAAAACATAAGCCTCACATGGGTGGTTCTCCTTGCTACTTTCAGAACTTAAATCATTAAGCGCCATCCCTCTCCCCTTGACAAGTAAAATCGTCTGCCGTTAGACAGAGTAAAATAATAAAGTAGGGCGCATCAGGGCGCAGTGCCACTCAATGGGTTAACTAGACACATAGACATATAAGCCTGTCAACCATTAAGCGCCAGCCCTCTCTGTTGACAAGTTAACTTGTCTGCCGTTAGATAGAGACTGACAGAGTAAAATAATAACATAGGGTGCAATGTGACTCAATGCACTAACTACAGTAGACACAAAGACATAATAGGGTAGTTAATCATTAAGCCGTTTAAGAACCAGTGCTCTCCCCTTGACAAGTAAAATCGTCTGCCGTTAGACAGAGTAAAATAATAAAGTAGGGCGCAGTGCGACTCAACGGGTTAACTAGACACGCAGACATATAAGCTTGTCAACCATTAAGCGCCAGCCCTCTCTGTTGACAAATTAACTTGTCTGCCGTTAGATGGAGACTGACAGAGTAAAATAATAACATAGGGTGCATCAGCTAGGGTGCAATGTGACTCACTGCACTAACTACAGTAGACACAAAGACATATAGGGTAGTTAATCATTAAGCCGTTTAAGCACCAGTGCTCTCCCCTTGACAAGTAAAATCGTCTGCCGTTAGACAGAGTAAAATAATAAAGTAGGGCGCATCGGGGCGCAATGCGACTCAATAGGTTAACTAGACACATAGACATATAAGCTAGTTAACTATTAAGCGCCAGCGCTCTCCGTTGACAAGTTAACTTGTCTGCTGGTAGATAGAGACTGACAGATTAAAATAATAACATAGGGTGCAATATATTGTGACCCAATGCACTAACTAGACACATAGACATATAGGCTAGTTAACCAATTAAGATGCGCCAGCACTCTCCCCTTGACAAGTAAAATCGTCTGGCGTTAGACAAAGTAAAATAATAACGCAGGGCCCACCAGGGCGGCGAGGGCGCAATGCGACTCAATGAGTCGAGATTGCTGAAACTATAAATCAAGTCTGTGCACAAATACAACACCTAGGCAATGCTGCCAGCTGTGCCTGTGGTTTACCTGAATTTGCAAGCAATTATAGGTTTTAATACCCTGGAACCAGAGGGTATTTATTTTCGCCTGTTTTGAATAACCCTCTGGTGAAATTGGCGTAGTTTTCGGGTTCACATTCCTTACATAACTTTCAAAAATGGAAGGAAAGAGTTGATTGGCTGCTGACTATAGGTTAGATAGACGACGTGTTCTGATTGGATATTGTAAACATCATAGCCTGTTCGCAGGCGTTTCGTGTTTTGATTGAATTGAAACATTTGAATTTTGAAATGTCTATATCATTAGCTACTGTAAATAAACGAACAAAAGTTGAAAGAAGAAGTTTAAATTTATAGGCAGCATTAATAGATAGATTGATAAATTTCCTGAATTAAAAGTTTAACGGAGCATCAATACCGCGCTTTGTCCAATTTGATTCACATTAAAGATGTATTTGCATCTTGTTATCGGTTACGGGAAGAGTTTAATATTCCAAAGTTCTAACACCGAGAGTATAGCACGACGACTTGGCAAAAGCCACAATTTTCTGGAGAAACCCATCTCAATAGTAGTTTGCAAATTGAACTCTTTCATTGACTCTCACGTCCGTGAACTAAGAAAGCGTGGATGCCGTGTTGCTTCACTGTCAAACGAAGAGGAAGAGAAAGCAATACTAGATGGAGAGTTTGCATTCGCATTTTGTAATCCCGAGTCTATTATTCGAAAATGCGAAATGGAGAGGAATGGTTTCATTTGAAATCTACAAGACAAATTTGCTTGCTTTTGTATTAACAGACAAAGTTCACGTCGGCCCAAAGAGGTGTGTTTAATAAATTTAAATACAGACTTTTTTTAATGTATATTGCAGGATTAAATTGAATGTATATTGCAAGATTAAAGTGAATGAATACAAATATATATTTATATTAAATTGAAAAGATGTGATGTTTTAAATTGAATGAAATTCATCAGGAGAATGAATATTGCTACAAATGGGCAGGCATACACTGGACCACAGTAAACATGCGATAAAATCCTGTCTAGACGGCCTGGCGTCAAGGATAATGATTGGATAATATTTTTAGAATATGATGCATTAAGCCATTATAGATTTTTTGCATTCTTTATCCGAACCAGGAATCGCTAACAAATTCACCAGAGGTTTTTCCTTTTTCTTCGCGCGTTTTGTCGCATTTGGCGTTCGCCAAACCTAAAAAAACCTCTGGGCCAGGGTAAGGTTTTAAAAGATTTTTCTAACTTCAAAGTTAAAAAAAACTTCACATTTATATAGTAACAGAGCTTACATTGTCAGAATTGCATGCTATGTGCTGAAATGTAACATTGAGCCAGTTCCCTCAAAGATAGCCTGCGAACAGGCTCTCTTTGAACTCTCTTTGAAATTTGAGAGAGAGCCTGCAGGCCTAGCTAATAAAAACGCGTCTGTGCGTTGCTTAGAACGACGCAGGGTTCCCATTGGTTGAAATTGAATTAACTAGATTATATACTGCCATAAAAGGTAATTAAATTTACACAACAAAAGATTCAAATAAAAAATATCGTTCTATAGCGTACCCTGGATTCCAGAGCCTTCGACAGTAAATAATAAATTGAAATGTCGCGAAGGCTCTGGTTCAACCGGGCGATTCTTTGATTAAACCGAGCCAATCACAAAACAGAATTAGTGGTTTTAGTACAGATTCTGTACTAAAACCACTAATTCTGTTTTGTGATTGGCTCGGTTTAATCAAAGAATCGCCCCGTTGAACCAGAGCCTTCGCGACATTTCAATTTATTATTTACTGTCGAAGGCTCTGGAATCCAGGGTATCTATAGCGACGAGTTGTATAGAAAACTAAATCTTTGGTTAAAGTTACAGTAAAGGATGGGCAGTCAAAAGCTCTTAACAAAATTCTAGACGGAAACGATGTTTTTGCTGTATAAGAGAGTTTGGCAAATATAACGGCAACTGCTTATATCAACAATAGCATCTTTACTCTAAGACAAAGGCGACTATAATTTGCATTCTTGAGCATTCTAGTACGCCGTAGTTGTTCAAACTCAAGTCGTTGCTGTGTTTACGTGAATTCACTTACTATTGCTACTTCAGGGAATTTCAGGGTTGTTTGAAAGAAAGACAAATTAATGCTTTTAATGTTGTAAACAATCATGCGTTGAAATCGAGATATGAGTTTTGTTTACATATATTCGCAGGCTATTACATGCATAAGGCGTGTCTGTATTAATTTGTCACTGATTGTATTTTACATTTGATTGACAACACTATAAATAGTGATGGGGCACAGACGTATTTTTATTGACTTAACCGGCGGGCTCTAATTCAATTCAAGAGCCTGTTCGCAGGCTACCTCAAAGATTAGGCCCGTTTCATACGCCGTACTTCACATGTGCCGAATACATTAAAAACAATAGGTAATGAGGCATTTCAGCTCATTATCTATTGTCTTTAATGTATTCGGCACATGTGAAGTACGGCGTATGAAACGGGCCTTACTTACAAATCCCTCAAAACTTAGAATTTACCTATTGGCTATGGAACATGGCATATTGTCTAGTCAATCTACTTATAATAAATCTGTGTGACAACTGTCAATGTGGAAATATAATATACAACACAATATTGTTCGTAATTTTAAACATATTTCGCTTGTTTGAAACCCTCCAAATTCGAAAATATAGGGTTAATTAAAGGGTTTGTAGCTACAGCACAGAATAAGGCACACAGAAGGGCCCCCTGGCCGCCATCTTCCTAGCCAGTCGATTACGTTTTCTGGCCAATGAACGCGCTGTATTGGCTGGCCGCCATCTTCCTAGCCAGTCAATTTGCATGTTTTTGCATAGAAAAATGGGGACACGTTGCACCGCTGAGTGGCCCTTCTGGTACTGATCTTTATTCTGTGGCTATAGGCCGCTATAGGTATTATAGCTCTTGAGCGCTCAAGAATGTATACAATATACAAGTCAACAAAACACGCCTGCCTTTTAAAACATATCAATATATTATCCCTTGTTTCGTACAAATAATACAATAAACAAATGCCAAACATACCTTTTCGTCTAATCTCCTCAATTTCTGTTTCTTGGCCGATTAATTCCATCTTTCTTTTGACCGCAACCTCAGACGCTAAACGTTATATTAACGTTGACATCGAAACGCTGTATTTGGTGGCCTTATTCAAATGCATTTTTACTGCGATCAAAGACGAAATCGAATAAAGTGCTTCGGTAGAAATTTAGATAAAGGCCATAAATTTAGTCCTACCAAATATTATAAAAGGATGGCCTTAAAAACAAAAGTTATTCGAAGCCGAAATTCATCAATTTTAACATTTTGGCTTCGATGCGCCATATTTGTTTGCGAAATTGCTCTCAAAGAATGCTCGAAAGCGGCAAAACAATAAAGGTAGTCATGGCAACTTTGGTACCATCCTGATCCCCTAATAACACGCTATTCATCCCCCAAGTACATATTTGTCTAAGGATACCCTTCATGTCACCACAGCTATCTTAAAATAGCGCACATTTCGAAAACTAATTTCGTCTCCAGACTTCAAAAAAATACGCGCGCCATCCGCAAAAATTCGAGCATTTATTGTGGCCGAATTTGAAACACTTTATGCCAAGCGTACGTTTCTGATCCAATCAAGAAGAACAGTTTTTGGACGACCTCGAGTAAAAGAGAAAAACAAGACTCAGCAATAATTAACATCCCTTAAGAATGATCGCTCACTTTTCTCTAGGCTGTACGTAGCATCTCAAGTGCGTGATGGCAATCTTGACGAATTTTTCGAGCACGAGAATATATCAAGCATACCCACCAGCGTTATCCCAGAATGGCGCCATGAGAGCAACGAAGAAGGCCGATCATGTTGCATGCCTAGAAGACCTTGTACCTTTTCAGGAGAGCACCATTCATCCCAGTGTACAAGCGACTATTTTCGATGGCTCTGTTATATTGAATATGCTGCGTCCTGGAGCTGCGAAGACATTCTTGGACTATGCACGGCAAGTATTTTTGCCATATATTGTTTCTCAGTTGGAGCACGTAGAAAGAATTGACGTTATTTGGGATCAATAATTTCCGGACAGCTTAAAGCTCGAAACTCGAAAAAAGAGGGGGAAAGGAGTTCGCAGGCGAGGGGAAGCTTCCACTGCGATTCCTGGAAATTGGCAAGAGTTTCTTCGCATCGACGAGAATAAAACAGAGCTGTTCGCTTTCTTACTACCATTTTGGACATCGACAACCAGTGAAAACGATAAGCACGTATAGCGCTGATGTATTGTGTAACCATACCATAGAATTATCAAAACTTGCCCTTTGTACCCATGAAGAAGCCGATACGAGAATTATCGTTCATCTTACAGACGCTGTGGTAAATGGTTACAACAAACTCTCCATACGCACTGTTGATACTGACGTTGTTTGTGCTGGCTGTGGCATCAGTTCAACGTATTGACGTTATGGAGCTGTGGATTGCCTTTGGAACTGGAAGAAATTTTCGATTTCTAGCAGCTCATGAAATGGCAAGAGCCCTTGGTCCTGATCGCTGCATAGCATTACCGATGTTCCAATTCCCCGGCTGCGATACAATCTCGTGCTTTGCTGGTAGGGGAAAGAAAACAGCATGGGATACGTGGAGTGTCTACGAAACCATCACCAAAGCGTTTTGTTCTCTGATGGAAAAGCCAGAGTCCATTAACGAGAACATGACTTCTTTAGAGCGTTTTGTGATCCTAATGTATGATCGTACACGCAGCCTTAACTGTGTCAACCAAGTTCGGAAACAGCTGTTCACACAGAAGGGAAGGTCAATAGAAGACATCCACCCTACTAAAGCTGCTCTGCTTCAGCATTCGCGACGAGCAACATATCAGGCTTCTTATTGCTGGGGCCAGGCTTTGAATGAAGTAGAAGATCTACCTTGTCCAAGTAATTGGGGTTGGAAAAGAAATGAATTGGATGGCTGGCAAATATGTTGGTCTACTCTACCCGAGGCTTCCAAAGCTTGCAGAGAACTTTTACGTTGTGGATGCAAGAAAGGTTGTAGCGGTCGTTGCAAGTGCGCTAAGGCAGCACTTAAATGCACTGCACTTTGTTTCTGTGGCGGAGAATGCGTTTAAAATAATAAAATCGTATGCTTGATACACACAATAGAAACATATCAATATTTAACCAACACTTGGTTTCACATTTTATGGTGAAATTGGTCGTAGTATTCAGAGAGGACACTCTGTTAACTTACGATCATATTACTGTTTATACCTATGTTAATCAGTGGCAAAGCTATCCATTGCAACTTGTCTTTCTGTGATAATGCAAACAAAATCATCATCATGGTTTCAAGTTCTTCATATTTGAAAATATTTACATAAATCGCAAGGAAACGGACGTATTATAAACATGTAAAGGATAGGTATTTATTTTTTATAGAGTTATTGGGTATGACAAAGCATATTTCTCCAGTATTTTTTCTAAATTCATAACGCTAGAGGATGTTATGAATAAGCAGGATACGATCAACCTTTAGCAATAGCTGCCATATCGATCACGTGATTTAGATAGGACAAACTGAATGTAGCTGCTACTTATAACAAACAGTAAGCATGAATATTAGCTTTTGATCATGATAAAGTTGTTATGTATGAAAAAACCCAATGTTTTGCAGTACTTTCCATAAATTCATGGCGACGCTAAATATGAATATTGAGCAAAATACGATCGACTTTTTTAAATGGCTGCCATCTTGATCACGTGACAAACACGTGATGGCCCTATAGCCTAAAATGTTTGCCTCTACATGTTCTGCAGTTGTGCCAAGTTTCATGTTTGTATCATTAAACGTACATTGCCTTCGCTTGTCTGCTGGACTCATAGATATCTTATATACACTAGATAGTGCATCTAATTATTCTGCAATACAAAAATTGAAGCCGTGATTGCAGACTCAGGTCGTTCCCATGAAATGAAAAGATTCGAATATTTTCTATTTCTTAAACACGGAACTTAAACATGAAGTTAACCCGATTCCAAATACGTTTTTAAACTATTCAAATGATGAAAGTTATTGTTGTTTTTAAGCGTTTATTAGCAAGTGGGAACGACCAACATGGCCGCCATCTATTCAAATTGGGGTAACCGCTGGAATATTCTTGGCTTCAATTTTACTAAAAGAGATGCGCTATCTCAGACTCGTCCCCATTCGTTATTTGAATTTCAATTTTATATATAGGGACGAATAGGTATATATCCATATATATATACAGATCAGTACCAAATGTGGACGCGCGCAAGGGGAAAAGGGAAGGCGAGGGAAAAAATAACGACTGGCAGATTACAGAGACAAAATGGCGGACAATTTGACAACAAAAGAGGAAAGACTATTTTAATATACACCACAGAGCGTTTTTAGCTGATAAACTCCCTTGTCCGCATGAGGAATGTCAGTATAATTTATCTTGCTATGATCAAGATGGTTTAGACCACCATTACAGGACAATCCATAAATGTCCTGTAACCTGTTATTTCAGGCTTTCAGCTGATTAGTGATATTAAAATTAAAGGCGAAAAGTCTTATTTTGCCAGATAACTGAGAGAAGCACTCAAAGGAAACACTGTCATGTTTAGAAAAGCTATCGCTTAACAACGAATTGAAGGTATTCGTAAATCTAGAGTGTTGAATGCCTTTAATTGGAGCCAGCGAGCAATAAAAAACAGGTTGGTATTTTATTCGATTTTATTTATGCGTTTATATCTTTATATTTCACGATGAAATGCACTCTTAAACTCTTTGGATTATAAAGAAAACAGCTTTTTGCTGGGGTTTTTTTTTGCAACCTGTGTATTTCACAATTTGGTTGCTGAAACTACAAATTTTTGTTATTTATAAATTACTTTATAAAATTACTTTATAAAGTGCTATTAACTCCAGGTTTTGTGTAATATGATTATGTGCCAACTTAAAACTTTACATACAAGGCTATTAAACCAATGACAAGACTTTTGGAGCATTCAAATATTTCCCAAAATACCTGTAAATAACAAAATATACCCCCCCCCCATAACTAAATGTTGCTGTATGATGAAAAGACGTTACATTGGTCATTAACAACACATTGTTTGGGGGCACAGGGTTGTAGGGATAATATAGAAGCTCAGGTGGCACATAACTCCTATCATAGCCTTAATTAAACAATTTGAAAAACCAGAAATACTGTATCAATGCACTGGGGCCAATCTGGCAATTACTTCTATGTTCTGACAATCCTTGCACTCATAGTCCTTGAAATGATAAGGTAATTTCTACCTTGTATCATGGTCAACGTTTAGGGCCACTTTCGGTGCCTTAGCAAGCTTGATAATTGGGGGAGGCTCATATTCATATATTATATTCGTGTTCTGCGTTATTAATTTCTTTTGAAATTGATTGTTTTTATGGACTGTGAATATGAATATATGAATATGAGGCCCCCCCTTATCGAACTTGCTACGGCACTGACTTTTGATTGTTATACCATTAAGTCTGATAATTGCACCACCAATGGTTCTGGTATCTCTTCATTTCTGTACTCAACTTTACAACATATAATATATTCTTGTTTATTCCAGAATTATCTTACAATTGGGACACCATTTATCACACAATTGGGAATTTGTCCTGACTCACCCTGGTTTCCCAAGTAAGCCCTAGAGTGACAGCACTCTCCCTTGATGAGTAAATTGTCTGGTGTTAGACAGAGTAAAATAATAATGTAGGGCATATCAGGGTGCATTGCCACTTAAAGGGTTAATCTTGATCTGGGTGGCAAAATACTGCAGTACCAAGCAAGATGTATGGAAATTGAAGACACAAAAGCTGGATTAATATTGAACCATTTTAATTGGACTTCTTTAATGGAATCATTAACAGTGAATAATTTTAAATTAATTTAAAACTAAAATGTATTATAATTACAGTTAATGTACATGATGTAGTGGAGCATGTCTATTATATTAACTTAATAAAGCTTTATACTTTCATATGTTATCTGCATGGTGGGGGGTGGGTGGTTGTGCAGAAAAATTCAGGGGGGGGGGCGGAAGGTGCGTGAGGGGCATGTAGCCACAGAATAAGGCACACAGAAGGTCGACTCGAGTAACCACTGCCACACCATGATTCATCATCAAAATGCTGACGCCATGGTCCTAGCCAGTGCGCGTTTAAGAGGCATTCCCCCCTGGACGTTCGCCATTTTGAATAATATCAGGGGGTGAATGCCTCTCAAACGTGCACTGGCTAGGACCATGGCGTTAGCATTTGATGACGAATTACAGGTTACGCCTAAATCATAGGAAAACCCAAGAAGTCGGCCTTCTGTGTACCTTATTCTGTGACGTAGCATCCTGAGGAAGATTAACCAAAACACAATATACCAGACAAATATAAAAATATTATGTCATTTGTAATACAATGTTATGAATTGGATTGATCATGTATTACATATGCACATCAGCCTTTACACATGTAAAAAGAATATATTTGTTTATGTTCGCACAACACCCTTTTCTTTTCACAGTTAGGAAATATGACTGCCAAAGCTCTTGAAAGGTGGCTTTTTACACTAAGATCATCAGTAACAACATCCTCTTGTTTAAGTCTCAACCCATCTGTTTTGATGCATATAGTCTTTAAAGAGCCCTGAAGATCTCCAGGAACAAATGTGCCAACATCACCTGCACATTCAAACAAGTGACTTATTAAAAATACAAGTTCCAACCTTGAACAACTTTCCTGCATTTAGTTCTTGCCTTCTTGGTAATCCTGGACTCTTAGAATCTGGTGTTAGGTCGTGTTTGACGTCAAATGGCAGCAACTTTCTCGCTTTAGGAGTTCTAGGAGTGCTGGTCTTAGGACATTCATCTGAATTTATGGTATTGAAGTCTATAGTTCAGAACGACAAAAATTACAACTTGAAACAAGGCAACATGGCGCTAATCAGCCGAGCGTATAATGAATTCCAGTTTCTTAATTTCTTTAGTATACGCAAATTTATGCTACAGCTCAAAGGGTCAACAAATTCAAGACATTCAAGTGGTAGAATGTATTATATTATCTTTTAGACTCACCATCTAAGTTCATCACTAGCGGCTAAATCCACTGAGCTATAATATATCTGGAGGAAGTGCTCCTATCTCTCTTCAGTCAAGCAAGTGAAGCCAAAAACATGGCGGATTTTCAAGGATTTTCACGTTTGCTGACGCCAGAATGACGCCACTGGTCCCAAATCCTCGTGGTAATTACCACTGAGCAAGGCTCATTTTGAGCCCGCTACCACTTTCTCATCCCCCTGATTTTCACAAAAATATTTTAGCTTTTTGTTTTGAAATTTGCCTCGGTGTTTGCCTTCTCTTCGACATTTTAACATTTGTTTCGAGTTGCACAAGTGGTAAGAATCATCCTGGCTAGTGAAAGACAGGGAACGAATCTTCAAACCTCAAGAAATTTTGGAAAGACGTTATTTGTAAAGGTAAAAAAATACTGTTTATATGTTCAATATTAATTTGTGATAGAGTATGTCAAAACAAAGCGAAATAAACAGCCCATTTGTACTGTGTAGTGGACAATTTTAGCAGCTGATGTATACAATTAAGTTGCCCAAACTATATTAATACGAGAAACAGTCTTCCTCGAAAGAAAATGGTTGAAATTTCAGATTTTAGTTTCATTTGTTATTTCAAATTTTACGATATAAAATGCCAGTCGACCACCATCTGCTTCATGATCATACTTATTAAAATTAAAGTGGTTTCTATTATATTAGTATACCTATAGAGGAAGACCTTTTTAAGCCAGAACTATCATGGCTTGGCTTTGAATGATTTAATCCATGTACTTTATAACTGGCCACTGATGGCAATGAAATTATAATGACTAATGTGTAGAATTATCAAGTCTAGATCCAAAAATTGGCAGTTTCATATATAAGATCAGGCATATATAAGATCAAAGCTAGTTTCATATATAAGATCAGGTTTAGAGGCCTGTAGCATTTTCTCTAGAAATTGCATGAGTAAAATCAATTTCATAATTAACCCGTTGAGCCGCAATGCGCCCTATTTATTTTTTTACTTGCCAGATGATTTTACTTGTCAATGGGGAAGCTCTGTAGCTTATCGGTTAACCAAAAAAAACTGACAATGTCTCTAGTTAACCTATTGAGCCCCAGTGTGCCCTACTTTTTTTTTACTTTCTAAAGCCAGACAATATCACTCGTCAATGGGGAAGCTCTGCAGCTTAGATGATATTTGATGTTGGTAATTCATGTATTTTTGGAGGAAAATATTTTAGACAGTGGTTGTTTGCCTGACACCAAACCCCAATATTTACATGCTATTTGTCTAAGTGAACTATTTTCCTCATTCTTTCAACATGCCAAAGTGATATAAAATAAATTTCAGTTGAATTCAAGCAAGTCCTCGGGCCCGTAAGTTGTCAACTGACGACTATCACCTTCATTGTTAGTTAAGTATATATCTGCTTATGTCCTGGGTTCAAATGAGTGGAATTTCAAGAGCATTCTGACTGGCTTTGTGCAAACAGGGGGCCTTACCGGTTAGGATGAGGGCCAGTTGAGGTGTTAGGGTTGAGTGCAGGCAAGGTTCATGTAAACTTATTGTTAGCAAGAATCAGAGAAGGATTTTCATATTTTTGTTCGGGGGGGATAAATATCTGGGGGGTGATGCTGCTTGCTTTGGCCGGGGCCTGGTGGCAACGCCTGGAAAGGCCAAGGAAAAAGTTTAACAAAATTTGTTTTCTATGTCTGCATGGCAAGATTGAGACCATAATATTGATAATTTTACAAATTTAGTAGTAAGAATAATCAAATATGAAACCATCAAATCAAAATATATATAATTTGTGGGGGTGCAAAAACTTTGGGGGGCAGTGCCAAATGCCTCTTGGGGGGGGGGAGGGGGTTGCAAATCATTTCTGGGGGTATGCCCTCCCCCAGAAAATCCGTGCCTGGCAAGAATGTTATGTGTACATAATCATGTGTAATGTTGTTTGGATTAATTGCATTTTAACGTTGGAATCCAGTGTCGAACAATAACCACAACAATTATTATATAAAGTATTTGGTTGTTTTAGTGTAATATTAATTTCTCACATATTTTTTTCAGAAATAAAGCACCATTGAGCAACTTGTTGGGAAAGAGGAGTCACAAACTGTTGATGAATATATTTAATTAATTACACATAAAATACAATTTTATTAACAGTATATTGATTTATGGGTTTATTAGACCACATTATTTTCATATTATTAATAATTAAAAATAAAATTAACAAATAAATTACAAAATCAATGTGAAAATATTGCAATAATCAATTAAAATGTCAAACCAGCCAATTGTTTCAAATTATGGCTGTTATCGTAATTGAATATGTCTATGCTATGGACCAGTGGTATCTGCATTATTTTAACATCGAGATGAGGCTATAGGGTAATGTTTTGTGTTTTTTACCCTTTAGCCTCGTTTTCGTCCGTACTTCCACTGAGATACCGCTGGTTCGCCGCAGCGGGTATTCAAATACGATAACAGCTATTATTCATTTGTGAGTGTAACCTAACCCCCTCCCCCCCTGAGAGAACAAGAGAGTTGCTGTGGGCCCCTATTATCCCTTTTGATAAGTCAGGCAATCCACCACATAATTTTCCTTTCAAATGCCAGACGAATATACTTGTCAATGCAAGGGGAGAGCTCTGGCACTCTATGGGTTGACCAGTATATGCCTATGCATCCTGTTAAGCCTTTGATAAGTCTGAATGCAACACAATGCACCCTACTTTATTATTCTGTCTAATGGCAAATTTTATTTGTGAAGGGGAGAGTGCTGAATGAGTTAACCCTTTAATTAAGTGGCAATGCACCCTGATGTGCCCTACTTTTAGTATTTTACTCTGTCTTATGCCAAAGTATTTTACTCTGTCTAACGCCAGATGATTTTACTCATCAAGTGGAGAGTGCTGCCCCTCGATGGATGAATGGAATATTATACTAATTGCTTTGAACAAAGGTGATTCCCTTTGTGGCATAAAATTTAACCAGGGCATTCTTCAAGTTTTCAACACATCTCAGGATTTTTCTTGGCATCTGGAAAAGTGTAATAGAATACATCCAATCAGTCATCTACTATATTATCTATATAATTTGATCTACATGCTATTGAACATTATATTATTTTTTTCCCATTTCAAATATTAAAATATGTCGATCTTTCAGACATAGAAATTAGAGTGTTGTGAAATAAGCATCCCCACCCATGTACTATCCATAAATTCATATTCGTCAAGAAAAATTCATGTCTATTTGCTGGCCTTTTTATATATGAACTAAAACTTTACTTGTACAACTATCTATTGGAACTTTCGCAGAGATGCCTCCTATGTTAGCCATGAAAAAAGATTAAAATTGTCTGTTAAAATCACAACTCAAAATTGTAGTGTGAGCCTTGCAAGCTTTTATTCAACACTTACTCCTACAGAGACACTTGTTAGGAACAGTTTTGATCTTTTTTGTGCCCATTACAACCATATATTGGGCCTCCTACGACAATATATTAAAACCCTAGGATAAGTTCGACTATTGACACCATGGCATTTGTGACTTGACACTTGTCCATCATTTTAAGCCTTAAGGCATTTCTATTACAATACTGTATGTGAAAATTGATGTTGGGGCTGTTGGATCTTTGGGTAAGGACTCGAGAGGAAAACAAAAACTATAACCTACCCAAATGGCAAAATAAAACACAACGAAAAGTGATAAAGGCAGAATAACACCAGCTGCTGTACAGCGTCGTTATATTTGTAAATTTCGTATCCAATTTTTTCTTTTAAAAAACAGAATTTAGTACAAATGAAGCACAGAGAAAGAGTTTAATATACATCTTACCGGTAAAAAGAAGTGTTTCTTCTTGATATTAAAGAATTGTGGCATCATGAAGCCATGCAAAAACTCGGCATTTTTTCTTGATGTTTTTTATATAAATTTTCAGCAGAGTTTCAGCTTTTTTGGGCAAAAACCAGGGGGGTGAAATTGTCGTCTGAAACCGAGGATCGCGGTTGCTCAGTGGTAATTACCACGAGGATTTGGGACCAGTGGCGTCATTCTGGCGTCAGCAAACGTGAAAATCCGCCATGTTTTTGGCTTCACCTCTTGACAGTGAACTCTAATAATAACTGGAAGGCTAACTCCTATGATGAAAGTCTATGATTCGTTGAAGCCGGCGCGCGGGAAAATCAGCTTTCAAAAGGACTAAGGAGAGTTTCGAGGAGTGAAAAAAATTCTGTCAAAAGTTTGTTTTCGAGCAAAAATTTGCAAGAAAAACACTTTTCCCATGGGAATACAACAATGATTGAGATTTAAACCAAGTTTCCGATTAGTTCCGACTGTTTTACATCTCTCTGCAGCAAAAAGTAAGGAATTTTGCTTTTGTATTTTGAAAAAATGACGAAAGTTTGGACGTGCCGAAGGAAATCTCGCCGTTCAACTCAAAAATATATACTATAAAACATTTTGACAGTCCCAAAACTTATGTTGTACTAAGCCCCAGGTATTGTTGTTGATCCTGAGCTTTTAGTCCTTGTTTTAGTCGCTCTTAAACATAAATAAATTGGCGTTTTTCAAGTGATGTTATTTTCGTCATCGGCATCTTGTTGGCCACTATGAGCACTTTGAATATGGCAATATTTTTGTCAATTTTCAAATGCTTTTTTTTCGACCTTAAAACGTTCAATTTTCTTGAAACTTCGCATACAGATGTATTTTGCATGGGTATAAAAAATTCCTGAGGTATGACGTCTTAGTTTTATCTTAAACTTCCAAAAACTCAGAAAAAGCAGCCTAAAACGCGCGGTTTTTCTGACCGTCCATCCTTATGGCCGTGTTTTTTCGTATTTTTTTGCTAATACGTGATTTGTTTGCTTTGCGAATATTAAATTCATTTATAGTACTACTGATATAAATTAAATTTGGTAGTATAACTAATATTTTGGGGCAAGATTTTTCTGATCGAAAAATGTGCATATTTTGAAAAAAAAATGTAAAAAGGACTGGGTCTACCTACAAAAAAAGCTTCAGGCACGGCTTCAACTTCCCCCCCCCCTGACTTAGCCTTCCAGTTATTATTAGAGTTCACTGATCACGCCATCCTGGCTAGTACAACCGGCACTTTGTACCTACCAAATCCTGATAAAAACTTCCGGCTGTACTAGCCAGGATGGCGTGGCCTGACGTGAGCGAGTTAAAATTTTCGTGGACGTCAAACAATAAGGGAAACGACTAGAGTTACGCTTCTGGTATAACTTCCTATTCTGTGGTGACGTGGTGACATACACGAGCCTTCCCCAATCGGAACTGGCCGTATGACGTCACGACATGAACTGCTGTACAAACACTGAGCTATAATACTACTGGAGGACGTGCTCCTATCTATCCTTCAGTCAAACGAGTGTCCGGAAAAACATGGCGGATTTTCATGTTTGCTGACGCCAATTGGTTCCTCCGGCTCATGGCAATTGCCACTGACCAACCGCGATCCTGCGCTTGAAATAAAATCCTTCACCCCCCTGGTTTTTGCAAAAATTTTGGTCATAATTTTCGAGTTTCGACCGAAAATTTTGATATTTTCGCAGTCGAGGAAAAAGTGTGTTAGTTTTAAGTTTTTAGTCTGCTTGTAGATGAAACAATTCACTCGAAGGATTATTATATTTCTTGTTTTCAGGTAAGATTCACGAAAGTTTTTATTTCTTTTAATACTTTTTTTTAAATTCTAGCTTGCCAAAGCTTGGGCTGCTTGGCAAATATTTTAACTTGCCATTTCGATGGAAAAGGTAAAAAACTACCGTTATAAACAGCAAATGTATAATATTTCTAGTTTCAACAATATCACAGTAGTTTTGTAATTCAGTTATCCTCTTTTTTCTTGTTCTTTATGTTCAAACTCATTCTCATATTAATTTTGTCTCATATCTTGGGTTCAAAATCCTTTTCTCGACTTGTTTTGTTTTATATTACTTTGAAATAATGAAATTCGTGATTGGTTTTAACTTTTAACTGCTGACTACCAGGTTTTTGTAGCAGTATTTACTTAGGATGCATGTCCACAACCTACCTTTTCAGTATAGCCTGCCAGTTGCCACTCTGGCACTTTCAAAAAATTCAGCATTTAAACCTTTAATTAAGTGATTAATTAAGGGGCACTGTGCCCTACTTTGTTATCTTGCTCAGTCCAATGCTGGATAATTTTATTTGTTAAAGAGGAAAGTGCTGGTGCACTCAATTGCTTAATAATTTTAAGTCCATATTAAACATCATTTTTATTATTTGGATCACCCCTCTACACTGTCACAGCTGTAACTTTTTTGTAGCACAGGCTGTGGGAGTCTGAATCTTTTCTGTAATTCATGTAATGACCCAATATAGTTCAAGTGCTCTCACAAATCCAATGGAATTTGCTTATCCTGAGGCTGATGCTCAAGCATGAACAAGAAAAATACAAATAAGGTGTTTGAATGCAAGGGCTGTTGCAGAAATAACTTTATTTGATCATTTCCATTTCACAATAACATGTTTATTATATACAAAGAATGTCAAAGACCATATTCTTCACACTGAACATCTATATTTACATAATTATATTGCAGTGTAAGGATGTATCTTAATGTAATGTAATGTTACATTCTGATATTCTGTCATTCATTTTGCAGGTAAAATCATTCACAGGTACCAAAAGACATATCACAATGGATCAAAATGCTGAACAGCCAAAGCAAAATCATACCCATCTGGCTACAAAGTCATAATAATAACTTGTCTGGATAGTTTTATCACTGCTAACAAAATTAATTATATTCTTTCTAATAATTGATAATTCTTTAATAAAGAGGTTGAACTATGAACTGTATCACCATCAAATAATTCTGCAATTAGACCAAAAAGAGATTATATAATTAAAATGGTGTAAATTAAAGTTTTCACTACAGGCAAAAGAAGTGAAGAAAGGAAATGAGAAAACAGCTTAAGCCACCACACTATTTAAAGGCTTAAATGTAGCATGCATGCAACTACCTGAAAAATAATACTATAGGTCTTTCACCTGAAATGTTGAAGTTCATTGATTTAGTTAGTTTCAGGTAGTTGCATCATACAGGGGTGCACAGAGAGAGGACTGAAATGAACAAAACCCCAAATAAATCCACCTGCATGGACTGGAAGTGACATTATCTACCAATTAAATTGTTTCTGACTTGATGTCTGACTAGCATGTGTGACTTTCTCAGTTCTGGCCTGTATAATGAGATCCAGTGCAACCCTATAATCTAGATACTTTGCTTATACCTACACTTGTGATTGGTACCCAACATTCAAGAAGTACAAAACTATTTCGAGTGGTTCAAGAATCCTCAGATAAGTTGGCCACAGTATCCTGAGCTTCTGGCACCCCTAGGCTAGCTTCTACTGGCACCCTAGATTATGCATACTATAATAAACACAGACTCTAGCATATATAAACACAAAGAATATAGATAGAAGCACATTGTTTCATGCCTTTATACCTGTATATACACTTATTTAGCACATACAATTGCATAAAATCAAGCATGTCAGATTTCAGCCATCAGTCCATATAGTCTATATAGAAAACCCCTTTGATTTGAGGGAAAAAACTGATTTAACTGAATTAAATAAAACAAAATTTGTTTAACAAAAACCATGGTCCGCCAACAATTTAACAAAGCTAGTAAAGTAAAAAAAAAAAACCAAAAAACTTTGAATATAAAAACAAAGTTTCTGTATTTGTCAGTAGCCTACGACAAGACTTTGAGTAGACGGCGGAAAATAATACATTATACTATAAAAAGAGCCTGTTATCTAATGGATTATATTCTACCATTTACTCCCACTATCATTCAAAAATTAAAAATAAAAGCATATCAATAGTATGTGAAAATTTACCTGAATAGCTCATTATAGCTGTGCCATCAAATATCGTCTTTGCCTAAATTTTTCGGGGCTTTCATATCGGTTTTTTGTCTTTCGCGGGTGAGAATAGTGTGTACGACTTTTAAATCTTTGAACCAATGGTCAAAAGTCGAAAAAATATAAAAAAAAACAATGAGAATTTACTGCAAAAACGTCGAAAAGCAAAAATATTTTTGATAAAACCAGGGGGGGGGTGAAAATTGTAGCGGGCTCAGAATTGAGCCTGGTCAGTGGTAATTTCATGAGCCGGAGGAACCAGTTGTCATGGAAATGGCGTCATATGGCGCGAAAATCCGCCATGTTTTTGCGGACACTTTTTTTGCCGAGCACTTCCTCCAGTAGTATTATAGCTCAGTGGTCAGACCATTAAATGGATAGCGCCCCATGATTCACAATCTGTCAATTGCGCGCAGACTATATAATGACATATATATTTTTTTTTCCCACAAAATTTCTTTTCTACCTAAACGGTAGAAAAAATCAATAAAATTCAGGAAAATTGGAGGCAAATGTATCATATTATTTAGGCGTATACTATTTATAAGTTTATTTTAATTACTGGTTTAGTGGTTTTAGAAATCCTTGTAATTGTTTAATTTTAGTATTTTTCCTTGCCATTTCCTTGTAAAACCCATTTCCTTGCAAAGACCAATATTTCGTTGCCTTGGTTACCAGAAGTTCTCAGATCTTTCGCCCTATTCTCACTCCAGCGGCAAAAAAAACCCTCTGGAACCAGGGTATCAACCACCATGACAGAAAAATCCTTATCTATGTCAAAGTCTTTTTTTTCAGATAAAAATAAAATACCTGGTGTTTCTTCTCATGTCTTGCATTTATAACAACAAATAAGATCTTGGCTAGGCGGGCTGGCCCGGTTTACGTATAAACTAAGGAGGATTTGAAATAAGCTGGGCAGCTGGGTTAACCGGGCCAACCCGGTTCATGTAAACACTGCCCCAATACTTCCACTGCCTGTCAGGCACCATATTGAAGTTTGTGGACGTGTCAGAAAGCCTGCCGACTACATGCTCTTAAGCCTGGTTCACATATGCCTGCGGCATGCCTGCGACTGTATCATTATGCCTCTCTTGCCGTCGAAATACCGGCAAAGTTGAACTCAAGTCAACTTTCCCGGCGTACCGCCGATGTAACTGTGGCACTGGAGGCAATCGGCGAACAAATATTCACATAATTTACGTTTTAATCTAGCCCCCAATCCAAAAAAAAACAATCTCTGAAAAAGGCTAAATCCGTAGAGAAAGGTTACAGAACACCTCGAGTGTTAATTTTGCCTAAAATTTTTTTATTGGTTTCCATGAAAGCATTGGACTAGTTCTACTATCTTACCAAGTTTGAACGAAAAATGTTGAAAACTCGTAGAGTTATTTAATTAAATACATTTCGCTGCAGTAAGAAAAACATTGAAAATGTAATATTCAAATTCAATTTTCTCCCGAAAAATTTTACGGTAATTCCTGATTTTCAAACGAGTTGTGCTGCTCCTGCGGGTTTTAACCAATTTTTCTCAAATTTTCACAGGACATAGCTAAAGACGTCAGTTTCAAAATTGTGTTCGGCTTTTTTAAAATTTTGTATATTTTAATGATAAAGAGCAATTCACTCAAACAATTCAGAAATATATTGCAGTCGTCAAAGAAATCGCCATTCAGCGGATGACGAAATGGTTATTTCCGAACACATTTTTTTAGAACACAAAATTTCCGAACACAATTTTTTAGAACAACTATTTTACTGTATAAAAATGATATTTTCATAAATACGACTTAAAACCAGCAGGAGCACAACTCAAAAGCGTAACGGTACCGCGATTTAAGATTTTCCTGAATAATTCTTACATTTATTTTATCGTTTGTTAATTTTACAACTTTACCATATTTTGCATGCACTGGCGAACATTTGGTGAAAATTTGATTAAAATCGGACTGATATTGAGCGCGCAGTAGCAGTTTTCCGCAAAACGCCAAAAAAGGTGTCCTGTAACCTTAAGTACGTCTCGACTGAGGAAAACGACGATATACTGGAGGAACTTGATTTGTAAAATCTCGTTAGAGCAGTTGTAGATATGGTTCCAAGAAGAATAGATTTAGTTTAGATTTACATGTGTGCATTATCATAGCATGAATATTCTTCTCAGACTTATTCTGTATCGTATATTTTGAGAATGCGGAAATGCTGTCTCATAGAACCTATAGAATGATTTAAATGCAACATTTCTGATCAAAATCACATTCAATTTGGGGGAACCCAGCATCACAGAGGGAAATAAGGTGACGCTGACCGGCTGCCTCTTGTTTTTCAATAGGGCCATTTATACGTGACAAAATAAGTCGCGACGCATAAATGGTTCTCTACGGCTTTGGTCTTATTTATTTGCTATAGCTATGTTGTTGTTTTGGTTGTTTTTGTTTTAATATGCAAGGCATTAAATTTTACGTTGTTTCAAGTTTCTGGCATGTGTAGTTAGACTTTTTGTCCAAAATTTCTTATTTAAGACGCGACTTAAATAAGAACAGCTAAAAGACCTGTTCTTATGTAAGACGCGTCTTATCCAAGACGCGTCTTACATAAGAATTTTGTACCTTTTATACGACAAACTCGCGTCTTACTTAAGTCGCGTCTTATGTAAGTCGCGTCTTATTTTGTTCCGTATTAATGGCCCTAATGTGACTTTTCCAATTTATTTAATTCCGAGTGGAAAATTAGAAATGTCTGGAAAAATTTATGTCTTCGATGTACTTTCTAATCTTCTGAATTCTGCAAGATTTCACCTCCAAAATGCTTCAAATCGCATTTCAGGAACTCTAAATTTCAAAATTTTCCCGGGTGTGCATGCCCCCGGACCCCCTTAAATGGTCTCGCGCCTTCGGCGTTCGCTTCGCCCCCCAAAAACGAAGGTCTGGCTACGCCACTGATTGTATAGGAGGGGGGTTGGGGGTGTAAAATAATCACAGAAATTAGAACGAAATATCAAGTGTCTCATTATTTTTGTTTTATTTTCTCCAATTCGTCAGCTTTCTTGAAGACGGCTGCTCAGACTGCATGAGATCAACTTGTCTACTTCGTTCAGCAGAACTAGACACTTCCATTGGAAGTACAGACAAAGCCAGAAATGTAAAGCCTTGTTTCCATATGGTCGTAAAAATGCAGCCACGATCTTTCTCAACGGCCAGTTTATAACAATTCATTCTCTAGTTATTAGCGTATTTCTAAAATATTGCATTTTGGCTGATGACAAAGATCGTGACGCAATCTTTACGATCATAGAAAACCAGACTTTTAGTTAGTATATTCTTCCATAATCGCAACAAATTTTTCGTGTTTTATCCCGTAGTATGAATGAAAACGCTAAATTATGTTCGATGATGATGTTGAAAGTGAAACAATTCTAAAGCTGGAGTAATACGAGCAACAAAATTGCTGCAACATGCAACAAAATCAGCAGAGGCGCCGGAATATCGAATATGGGGGCAGATATTCATATATTCGTGTTCACAGACTGTAAAAACAATCGATTTCAAAAGAAATTAATTGGGCAGAACACGAATATATGAATATCTCCCCCCCCCCACTCCAATTATCGATATTCTGGCGCCTCTGAAAATCAGATTTCAACACATGTTAAGTAGAAATGTTGACATGTTGTCTCGTGATTTGTAATTTATGCGTAAACATTTTCAATGAACTGCGTAGAAATTAGATTTTGTTGCAAGTTGCAGCAATTTTGTTACCCGCATTACTCCACCTTAAGTGTTATTGACTTATTGTTCTAATTTCACATAAGCTGCAGTGTTTTGTCCCCGGAACCACCGACACAAAGCGGGGGGGTTATTTCGGGGTTATTTCGGGGGTAGAACTCTATGTGGATCAATAGCGGAAAATAGGGATTTTAATTAATATGTCAGCAACACTCTAAATACCATCATTTGCCCTGTTTAGAATGTTGCTGACAGTGGTTTCGTTAAACACGTTTACTACACTACAGTTGTTCGTTCCTATAGAGTCGGGTATTTTACAGGACATCCCAATAAATGTATCGAATCTCATTCAATGTGCAATGTGATAAGTTTATTTTGCAATAGAATATAACACGGTGTAACGTTGAATATTTACCACATTTACATTATTTATTGAAATGGATTTTTTTTCTTAATTTGGATACTCAGATCGAGAATATTCATACACGATAGTACTGAATTAACACTTGGTACTTTGAAGATGGTTCCTTTGTCTTCAGATGCGTCCTCGTCCAGTGTCTATCTGCGATATATTGTCTTCTCATTCCTGATCACTCTTGCATTCAAGTTCGAATTTCAATTACTCCATTCACTTGTCTTAACAAATCCTACTTGATCAAATCTTCATCTGGTGTCGACTCTCTGAAATCCTGTCTCAGATCTAATAATTCTAATATTTCTCTTTAGTGTTTAATTCCTTAACTAATTTTGATGGGTATTTTTGCTTTCCATGTGTACAGTGGAATCAATATTTGATAAACACAACAGCGGGTACCATTACTCTTTTTAGCATTGTATTGTCAAAGTAACTCGTATAACTATAGTAATAATTTATGTCTATATTTAAAAAATTCGAATCAATTTGTTGTTAGTTACGGAAGCCTGGCTATCATCAAACACGATTTGTAATGATGTATTACTGACATATGCACGTTCGTATTTTGAACGAGCTTTATGCTCCTGGACGTAACATGTTAAAATAAATTATTCATTCATTCACATATATTTCTGACCACTGTTACAATTCCTTCAAATATTTCTTTTTGAATCAGGTTGTACAAAATCCTACAGGAAAATTTTTTGTAGACTGATTTGGATCGAATTGAAATGTAATAAGAATAGATGAACGTTTTCGAGACAAGACTTGCATTGTATATGTAAGAGTGTTAAAAAAAGAGTATAAGAGGCAACAAAACTTAAAAGCGACGACGGATTTTCGAGCTCAAAATCTATAAGTCCTTTTCATTCATTTCAAGTCATTAAAAGATGCCCTGTTGTACTCAAATGCTTAAAGGCATGTGTAAGAGTTATGTAAACTAAATGCAACTGATCCCACATTGAACAATCTGGCGAAGTTTTATGAGGTACATGTGTAACTCAATAAATCCACTTTACGTCAGACATTTTATTCCATAAAATAATTACTAGCCAAGCAGTTTCTTTAATTAAGCCTGTGACGTTCCGGGTGCATGAAACAAAGATTTTGTTTTATCAATAATTGCCTTTTTTTGTTGATTTAACAGCATATATTGGAATAAGATTGGTTGCCAACATTCCGACACATCTGAATTCTTATTTTCACGTTGGTGTGTAACGATTGGCAGCATCATCTAGTGACAGCATCATCACCTGAATATTACAACTTTGAACAAGACCATCTCGATGAAGAATGAAGGGATGGCATGGTTGTCTTCGTTTTCATTACGAAGGGGGCGACGAAAGTGAAATTGACACATTCATGTCATGCTTGGACGATATAAAAAGAAAAGGTTATCTTTTGGGAAAAGCTGTATTATATCACTGTACTTGTAATGGAAAATATTTTTTTCCCAAAGGACAGGGGGTTCGGATTTGTACAAATCCTTCAAGACGTAGAATTTAACCATGCAAAATTCCTACTGTGACCACATAAACTTTGATAGGGTTTGTGTGAAAAACTGTGAAATCCCAGTTCAATTAGGTTACTACCACAGACGGATCTTTACAAAGTGGCACATTGGGTACCCAGCTATGACCATTTTGGCCCCAAAATTTCAATAGTATGTGAAGCACCATTTCATCCACATGCACCTCTAATTCCTGTCTCATCTACTGCATCTAATGCATTGTTGTGCTTAGTTTGAACAAAAGGCCAACAAAATTTGTTTTTTAATTAATATACTCTTATTAGTAAATATTAATGATGATAATAATAAACACTTGTAATTTTTATTTAATTGTAGTTAATTTTTTTTTAGTTAACTGGGTTTTTTCGCATTTGTCGAATATTGTATGTATAAGATGTAGGAAACAGACTGTTTTTCATAAATATGTATAGGAATGTATAGTCATATAGTTCATGTTATATTGTGATTCTAATTTTATGTATTAATTGTTATATGTTAGCGTATTTTGTAATACGCATACGAGAGGAAGATGTAATTAGATTCCTTGTAACTTTACTTCATGCTGGCATGCATGTAGCATTAATTTCATTGTTATGCTCGACTGGTTGAAAAATTTCCTTTTCATTTTAGCTTAAGGATAAAATCTTTTTGCAGGTTGCACTTTTGACATAAATCAATCCATCTGTCCGTGTCACACCGAGCTATGCCGATAAGTGGGTCCCAGGTTTTGCCATCCGCAAAACCGCGTTTGAGAACCTGGACGTGTCGTGGAACGTATCTTGCATTGTTGAAATACAAAATATCAGAATGTTTTAGATGCTACATTGAGAACATGAAAATATATTTTTAGCGTCTTTGTTCTTAACATTGTAGGATGTGCTTTGGGCGAAGCCGCCAAAATACAGCGGTCAATTGCCTTTGCCAAGGACCGCTCCGCAACATTGGCAAATCTGCGACGTAAAACAGCAAGGTGTATCACGACGGCCCAATCAATTAAGATTCCACGTGCAGCATTGGACCGACTGTTCCTGGATTGGATTGACATGCTAAGTTTTACGTGATAATCAAAAATCAACAAACTGCAGCTTGACTATCGGTCCGAGTGTTTTTAGAAAGGAAAGAGCATTTTTGATGCCAGTATGATCAGAATAGTATATGTCATCGATAGCCTATGTCATCTAAATGGATTCTGTCATGGTTGTAGTTCAAATACTGGTTCATTTTATTAACTACAGTAGCTATTATTGCGAATTGATAATATTTTACAAACAGAAGTTGATGATGATGAAGAACAACCAGATGAGGAATACAATCCAGTCCAGGGGTCCGATGTTTCCAGAGAAGACTTTGGTTGTCAGAGACACGTTGAAGAGGAAGTCCATGCTCTTGTCGCAGGTATATTTTCATTGCAATATGAATATTCATTGTGTGTACAAAAAAGCATTAACAGATGAAGACTGTAAAAAGGACGACAAGTTATATTTTTGATACATGATAGTTTAGAAATATTGGAACAAAACCATGTAAAATCGCTGATGGACGTTTTTATTTAGATCGCTTTTCCAGAAGGCCAGTTGACGCCACTCCTCCCAGACCCGACTTTGACATTGCCACTGCGGTAAGTAAGGAAAATATAGAGCGTTTTGTTACAATAAAAAAAATACAAGCAAAATATCAACAACTTAATATTGTAATCAACATAGACTAGCGTGATTCCCACGTATTTGTATTGATATGTGTTGTAAGGGAATACTCAGTTATTACTATATACAAATTAAATGGATATATAACAAGATACCAGCAAATAAGCTTGTGGTTTTTAAAATATTTTTATTTTGATTTTTTTATATACATGTTGCTTGTATGAGAAAGATTTAGTTGTATTCAAATATCGCAGCCAACATTTAGAATAATAATAAAATAATGTAAATATACAATAATTGACCAATTATTTATTCATATTTTAGCTTTCGACTCCTAGAAGTAAGCGTCTCCTGGAAACAAGTACGGCTTCTCCCGAGAAACGTAGAGCGCTACTTCTGGCAAGTATTCATTTTTATTTATACATGGTAAACATGTATTTGATTGGCTGCTGACGAGATGTGATTCTCCCATATTGCCCACAGGGAAAAATGTACAGTATAAATATGATGAAAAGCTTACTGTTATTTTGAAGTTATGGACAAGACAAATATCTTGTCGGTTTGGGAAAATAAAATGTGTCAGCGTCAACTATGATGGTTCTGGAAGATCCGTCGGAACAAAGCTGATGAGGATGCTGGGAACGAGGTTGACTTGTCAGCTGATACTGAAGCAAAATGATTGGCTGAAAAACAGCCAATCACAAACTGGCATATAGCACGATTAAAAGGCAATTCGAGTCCACATCCAGGCCTGTTCCACATGTTCAGAGGAAGACAAAGGAAGTTTCAGAGCAAGTTCTATCGACAACATGCAACATTTGAAGAGGGAAGGCGGCTGGTTGATCGTGGATGGTCAACCAGTCACAAATTTTTATTTAAAATTTTAAGGTTCGTGCGCCACTGGTGACGGCAAAAACAGGTGGATCATCGAAGTTGAAGGAGAAGCACTCGGAGAACGCAAGCGAAGGTATGTTCTGATTATCAAATACAGAGATTAAATTTCCACCATGTATGCATGTTTAAATGTATTTGTCATTATTTAAGAGAGAGCAACATTGCCATGATTTACTCTGAAGCCAGGAATTGTGGAAAGTTGTTGTCTCTACAGCTTTTTGCATACCTTCAGGGAGCAACCGTACCGCACCCAATCATCTTTGCTGGTGGCAATGAGACAACATCAGAGATGTCGCTGTAAGATTTGTTCCACAAGTCATCACTGACTTACGGTACACAAATGGCAATGGATATTATGCGACACTGTATGTGTGGTAAAAAAATGTAAATATACAATACTTGACTAATTATTTATTCATATTTTAGCTTTCGACTCCCAGAAGTAAGCGTCTCCTGGCTGGTTGGTCATAGATAGTCAACCAGTCACAAATGTTTATTTAAAATTTGTAGGCGAGTGTGCACCAGCTGATGCCTTTTTTTACTGCATGTTATATACTGTTGTGGTGTCCCCGCCATTCGTCACTTGTATAGTTTTTGTAATTATATTGTATGCATCTTATTCGTGTAATTTTTACCTGGCGAAGTTAAATAAATAATTAAATAAATCCAACAGCCAAGGATTTAAACGGATTAACAGACTATCACAAAGGAAGTGATATGATCTATTATAACTGCTATTATTTTATCATGTAAGTGAATTAATTATCTATTTTGTTATTATTCTCCCAGTATCTGCCAATAAAATTCTGATTCTGGCAATTAATACGAGTTTTACTATTTTTTGGTAGTGGACAACGCCACACTTCAATTTTTCTTAAAGTGCCTATGCGACAATTTTTTTTATGATTGGATTGAAAAGTTCATTTAAAATCATAATATAACTTGTTTTCTAAAACTTTGTATTCTTTCCTGTATGTTCGTTTCCTTGCCAAACATGCGATTATTCCATTGACATTGAAAGTGATATACTTTAAGAGCTATCAAAGCAATCATTTCGTGTGTAAATTTGAGATAATGAGAATTTTAACAAGCTACAACACAGTCTTCTGTAAAACGCATTATGCAGTGTGACGTCATTTAAGTCACATTTGTATATCAAACAAAGTCGAAAATCTGGGCATACAGGAAAGATTACAAAGTTTTAGAAAACAAGTTATATTATGATTTTAAATGAACTTTGCAATTCAATCATAAAAAAAATTGTCGCATAGGCACTTTAATAGATGGAAGAAGTAAAATTTGTAGCGGTGAAGGAAAGTGATCTTCGTCGACTGCAAACGAAATTGCCCAGTCTCTATAGTCTTTCGATGATATTCAGCTTTCGTACAAATCTATTTCCTGTTATTGTCTATTTGCTGTTATGTCTAAATAAATCGTCTATTACGAAAGTCACCGAACTGTGGAAACGCATCAAAAATTCGTATATCGACCACTCCCACAAACGTCTACGACCACGCCTACATTCGACTACATAGTTTTGCATGTTTACAATTCTAATTTTGAACAGCCAATCAGGTTCTTGGTAATTGGCTGTTTAAAATTAGAATTGTAAACGTGCAAAACTATGTAGGCGCGGTCGTAGACGTTTGTGGGAGTGGTCGATATACGAATTTTTGATGCGATTCCACAGTTCGGTGACTTTCGTAATACCCAAAGCATTACAGCTGAAAGTAGGCATGCAGCAGGCGATTTCTTTGGTCTTTTTTCTTATTTTGTATCTTAATTTTTTTAACAGATGGAAGAAGTGAAATTGGTGACAAGTAAGAGAAAGCAACCTTCGTCGACTGCAAACGAAATTGCCCAGTTTCTATAGTCTTTCGATGATATTCAGCTTTCGTACGAATCTGTTTCTTGTTATTCTCTATTTGCTGTTATGTCGAGATAAATCGTCTACCCAAAAGATTACAGCTGAAAGTAGGAATGCAGCAGGCGATTTCTTTGGTCTTTTTTTCTTATTTTGTATTTTAATTTTTTTTAACAGATGGAAGAAGTGAAAATGGTGGCAGTAAGAGATATACCACACATAAATGAATACCACACATACAATGTCTCTTTTCTTATTTTTCTGATTATTAAATACAGAGATTAAATTTCCACCATGTATGCATGTTTAAATGTATTTATCTTTATTTAGGAGAGAGGAACATTGCCATGATTTACTCTGAAGCCAGGAATTGTGGAAAGTCGTTGTCTCTACAACCTTTTGCATACCTTCAGGGAGCAACCGTACCGCAGCCAATCATCTTTGCTGGCGGCAATGAGACAACATCAGACATAACGCTGTAAGATTTGTTCCACAAGTCATCACTGACT